TTTGGCACCAGTTAGGCCAGGAGGAGGAATGATGCTGACTGGTCTCCTGGCTGATGTGAAGTGTCTGGTGGCTCCTGAGCAGAGCTAGCTGGGTGTGCTGGTGGCAGGCTGTGTTCTGAGCAGCCATGCAGGTGATCTCGCTGCAGGAGACTTCACACAGTGTAAAACACAACTGATGTCTTGGATCAATCTTAACAAACAGGTTTTTCTTCATGGTACCTCTGAAAAAGGAAGTGTTTGTTCAGAAATGCTCCTGGGACTGGATGAGAGTCCGGGATGAGCTCACACACTGCCCTCTGAAGGGCGTGTGTGCCTGTGACAGGGTGCTGCTCTGGAGTAATTATATCAAATACCGTAAAGAAAGACAAGTTGCATTATATAGTGCAAAGTAGTCTTAGTGAGTCAGTGGGATCCCAACTCAACTCAAGCCAAGCTTGTTCTTTGCAGGAGCATGGGGGAAATCCTGCACAGCCAACATCTCAGTTTACCTCAGTAAATTACCTCAGTAATTTAGTGTTTCTTGCAGGTATGACTGGAGAAACTCCTCATCTGAACTAACTGCTCTTTCAGGTATTCAGACCTGCTTCTTCTGTGAGCTAAAGCTGTATTCTTCTTTGTCTTCCATAGCTGATTTTGTACTAGCAAAGCTCATCATAAACAAGATCTGTGTAGCTTAGAGCATGTATGTGGGCTCCCTTTCTGGGACACAGGCAGTAGTGACTAATGCCATGTAATGTGAGAAACAGCCTGTATTAGCAAGAGAATATCATAAGTTGCCTCTGACTTCACTTGAGCAAATCTGAGAACTGAACCTGGCTCAAGGTTGGTTGGTTGCACCTTGTTCTATTGACACAGCAACTGTAACCAGGATTGACTGAGGTATTTCTGAACTTACTTAAACTGTAATGTGTGGAAACATTCTCTGCCACAAAGGTGTTGTGTTTGCTATTGGGTTAGTATGAGCTGAAGTCATCAAAGTCTTTTGCATCATGTTAAGACTTCAATTACAGGACTTTCAGAGAGCACTGGTGTCTTGCACTCAGAGTACCTCAGTTTGTTGAAAGCACTGTGTCTGTAAGCAAACACTGGAGGAGACCTATCCTGTCCTTGGAGTAGTTTGACCCTTTGGGTTGCTTCGTAAGAAACCCTTGTTGAGGTAAGGAGGATGTCTTCAATCCATCTAGGCCAAGGACCTCACTAGGACCAGTCAGACCTCTGTTCAGCACAAACAGACAAACAGCTGCTTTGAAGCTGCTGTTGGAGACCTCCTCAGCCACACAGAGCATGGGGAGGATGAGGGAACTAGCAGAGGTGCTGCTGTAAAGAGCAACTCAATGCTGCTGACACTTAGAGGGGGCTCCAGGAGCTCAGACACTGGTACTTTCTCCAGGACCTGGAGATGTGTTCTCTTCTTGTATTAGGTGTTTTTATACCTTCAATGAGAAGATTAATATGAGGGCTTGGCCCATCAACTGGCTGAGCTTCAGGGCAGCATCAGTCAAGCCTAGTAGAACAGGGGTGTGAAACTGGGCAGTGTCCACTGCTGGCCCCTGACAGGGCTGGAATTCCTCACTGTCTCATGGCCCAGACCAAATACCAAGCTGAGGCAGCTCCTTCTGTGCTCTGGCTCACATCCGTTGCATCACCTGGATGGAAGCTGTGTCTCACCTGACTGGTGCTGGTGAGGGTGACAGCCCTTCACTGCTGGGCAGCCCGTCAGCTATGACAAGGAGGCAGAGTCAGCTCTGACTCAGACCGACTTCCTATGTCTGCAGGTGGCTGCTCAGCTGAGTTGCTTCCAAGGTAATGAGTCTTGACAGAGCAGTTTTCCCTCCCTTCTTAGTGGGACTTCAGGCTGTGTTGAACTTGGGTGATAAGCATCCAGTGTGATTTAGTGTTGCAATTTAGGGCTCTGCAAATCCCTCCCTAAGCAAGAGAACTAATGCCAGCTGGTCCAAAGCTGCTTCAAGTACCAGGAGGCAGTGAGCTGCAGCAGCCAGTGGCAAGTGATACTGAAAACACTCTGAGGAAAATAGAAGCAATGCCCAGAAGCATGCTGGGTTCTGGCACAGGCACTTCAGGGTGAGTTGTTTTCCTCTGTCCTGAGGAAATCAGGTGACTCACGCTGGACCTGAACCTATACAGATGTTTTTCATGACAGTTTAGTGTACACAGCTGTCTTTAGGCTGTTTCAAAGCTCTGCTTGCTCACTTTTATCTCCACCTGGGCTGATTGTGTTGCAGAAGTCTCTGGCTTGGCTAGCACAAGTGTTATGTGCTTTGCAGACACAGCAGGTGCAGGCTGCTTGAAGGAGCTTCCATGGTCAGTTCTCCCCCTGGCTGTAGGGGAGACAAGACACAGCGTGGATCTTGGCAAGAACAGGAGGACGACTAAATGTTGGTGTTGTTGACAACTTTCAGCTGATTCTGTCTTGGCTTGTATTGCTGGGCTGCCAGTTGGATCAGTGAGCAATGCACTCCCTTGGAAAAGAGAGGTGTTTACACTTTGAGAAAATGTCCTATAGAGACTCTGGCATCTGTTAACACTCATCTAAGGGTAGCATGAGCCCTGTGTGACCTGTCACTGCTGCTCACTCAACAGCCCCTGAGTGTTATCTCCTCAGCAGTGTTTCCCATCTAGATATATTACCAGATGCACGAGGGCTACAAGGATGTCATGAGGTTATGCAGGGAGAAAGCCAGAAGTGCAAAAACCCAACTAGAACTTAATCTGGCTACTGCTGTAAAAAAAACAATAAAAAGTGTTTTTGTACATTAGCAACAAAAGGAGAGCTAAGGGGAATCCCCATACTTTATTAGATGTGGAGGGAAACAGTGACAAAGAATGAGGAAAAGCCTGCTATATGTCTTAGACATCTTGAATCTTGGGGTCGGTTTTGGGCCACTCACTACAAGACACACATTGAGGTGCTGGGGGGTGTCCAGAGAAGGGGGAAGGGGCTGGAACACAGATTTGATAAAGAGCACCTGAGGGAATTGGGGTTGTTTAATCTGGAGAAAAGGAGACTCGTGGGGGACCTTATCACTCTCTACAAGTTCTTGAAAAGAGGTTGTAGCCAGGTTGGTCTCTTCTCCCAGGTAACAAGTGACAGGACAAGAGGAAATGGCCTCATGTTGCTCCATAGGAGCTTTAAATTGGACATAAGGAGAAATTTCTTCACCAAAAGCACTGTCAAGCACTGGAATGGGCTGTCCAGGGCAGTGGTGGAATCACCATCCCTGGAGGTGTTTAAAAGCTCTGTAGATGTGGCATTGAGGGACATGGGTTAGTGGTGGCTTGACAGTGCTGGGTTAATGGTTGGGGTCAGTGATCTTAGAGTTCTTTTCCAACTTAAATGATTCTGTGGCTATGAGGTGGGTGCAGTCCAATAAGGTGTAGTTGTAAGTGCCCCACTACTACAGTGGCTGCAGGAGTGCTCCTTCAGCTTCTGCAACTTTCATGGATAGCTAAGGCTAAAACAGTTTGTGTCTTTTAACCCTTAAAGCTTGAGATGATTAAGATCTTTTTCAACTGGGCTGCATCTAGTGAGAGGCTCTTACAGCTTGGAGCATGTTACCTCCTGTAATAGTGGGCTGAAGTGGGTGCAGTTCCCCAGCAGCTTAGGCTGTTGTGTATCCCTGGAAGCACATAGGACCCAGCTGCTTAGAAGACACAAATTCCCTGTTGTAGAAGTGAAGGCCTCCTTCGCTGTGAAAGTCAGGAATAGCTCCCGAAGAGTTATGTGGAGGAGTTGTGTGGTGCAGTGAATGTGGTGTAGCAGGATGGGAATTTTAGGGTAACCAAGTCCCCTCATAAGGGCTCAATACCTGAAACCTGTTGTCAAGGGTCTTTGGAGTCAAATAGAACATCTTCTGGTTCCTCTGGGAAAGCCAAGGAGTCCTTGTGTTGTGGACCAGGTCACGACCAAACCAGAGTCTGTGATCTGATCAAGGCTGAGCACCTAAGAGTGGTTTGTCCCACCCTCTTCCCAGAGGTGTGGAGAAGGGTCTCCTAGTAGGAAAGGTGTTCTCAGCCACTAATGGCAGGAGCTGGAACTTGCTCTCATTGTGCTAAAGCACATCCAGAAGTGTATTCAGGCCTGCTGTAGCTGATGTACTTGTAGCTGCTTCAGTGACCTGAAGGAGACCTGGGAGCAAGTAAGTGTGGAACTCTGCAGCTCAGCTCTCTCTTGCTAATTGAATGGACCATTAGGGGCCTGTTTGGAGCCACCTGCCCTGGAAAGTGGACTGGAATCACGGCAGGGTGCAAGTGAACAAACAACTCATCTAACAGAGCAGCAGGCTGAATGTTGAGGTTTGTCACTGTAACCTTGTCCTTCCATGGATGGTGAGGTGGCAGCAGTCAGTTTTGAGTGCCCACAGCAAAGCCATGGAGTCTGGTGGCAGTTGGCTTTGTAATTCACCTGTTCAACTGGCCTGTGTGGCTGTTGCAGCTGCTTAACCACAGCACGTCACTGGGATTCAGTACTTTCACAAAGCATAGCTGCTAGACAAAGCTGGCACACTTTTTTCTTATTTTTTACTGGGAAATGACTGAACAGCATAAAAAAGCTTGAGTGTGGCATTAGACTTTATGTGTCTGCTTACATCTCGCTTCCTGGCCTGTGTAAGAATTAGCCTGTGTAAGGAGCTTGTATGATTTATTGCACTGCCTCCCGCGAGGCAAGGGAGATGACCTGGGCTAGTTTATCCACCAAATGGCCTGGAAATAGGATCCAGAAAGGTCTTGGTACTGTAAAAGACAAGTGCTTGGCTCATCTACCTCTTGGTATTAAGTTGCCTCTACTGGTCTGACCTGTGAACTGGGCAAGACACCTGGTTAGTGCAGCCTTAAATTGGAGTCTGGTTTCAGGAGTGCTGGGTCCTGCCTGTCACTGGCTCTTTGCTGGGAGTCAGGTTTCTCAGACTCCAAACTCGCTGCTTTCTTCCTTGAGGAATGTCATACTAATGGTTTCTGATGGCATTGTTCTTCCTTTCTAGTGTGAAAGATGACTTCTAGGAAGAAAGTGTTACTGAAAGTCATCATCCTTGGAGACTCTGGGTAAGTGGAGGAGCCTTTAAGCTGCTAATCTGTATCTGGGTAGAGCAGTGCTCTTGACTAGTGGCAGCCTGGATGCATTGTAATAAACCAGCAGTGCTGGGAGGAGAGATTTTACAGCCTCAGATAGCTGTGTTACCTTACAGGTTTAAGAACTCTTTACCACCCTCTGTCCTGAACGTGTCCCTGCAGTTTAATATCTTGAAGTCCTGCCAAATATTAAATGAGGGAAATGTGATGGACCAACCACTCCAGTAGCAGAGCTGAATAGCCTTTCTGCAGGGACATCTGCTGTACAAATGAGTATTTCACTTAACTGAAAAAAAAAAGTCACTAGTAAGCAATCTTAGGTGGCTTCCTAAAATTCTGGCTCTGTCAGAGACACAGTCTATACTGAGCCATCTGCTTTGCTTCCCTGGTCAGGCTGGAGCCTGCCCCTCGGAGAGAAAGGCTTTGCTCTGTGCTGTCAGCAAGGAGCCTGCTCTGCTGTCACAGGTTACTTGCCATGCAGGCTGTAACCTGATTCCTATGACATAAGGCTTATTTATACCACTATGCCCAGCAGGCTGTTGTTCAGGGAGTGTTTCTCAGCCATAGAGAGGGCATGTGAGCCTCTAAGCTGGGTCTCTGGGGAGCATCTCCACCTCTGGGTGTCTAGCAGATGTGTATGTGAGATCTGGGATTGTCTGTTCCTTCACCTCCTTCTGCAGAGCTGAGGATACTGTTTTTGATGGGTTTCTCAGAGGCACAATCTTCCAAAATTGCCTTCATGGTCATAATGTGATGCCTGCTCCTTGCCAAGGATCAGATTAGTGGCAGGGAAACAAGGTTTCTCAAGATGTAATCCTTTGTATCCTTGGGTAGCTAATGCTCTTACTCAGCATGGTGCCTCAGCATCTATTGGTGTGAACCCTTCTTGCAGTGATGGGTGTGTTTTCCCTGTTTGAAAGCCCAGGAGGCTGTGGAAAGCAAAGGGCACTGGGACATTCTGTTGAGAGTGGTTAATTCAGACGTTGTTGTAGAAACAGTCTACCAAGTCTTTTTTGTGTGTGTGTTTCTGTACAGGGTGGGAAAGACATCACTCATGAACCAATATGTGAACAAGAAATTCAGTAACCAGTACAAGGCTACGATAGGCGCAGACTTCCTGACAAAAGAGGTGATGGTGGATGACAGGCTAGTGACAATGCAGGTAAGGAGGGACCCTGGTCCCTGCTGCAAGGGGTGCCTGGCTGCCTAGACCCCACTTGTGTGGAAGCATCTGCTCTGATGTAGGAGTCAGTGTACTGGGTGTGGACCTCATTTGCACTGAACTTTCCTTGGCCATAAGTGCTTCTGGGCTTCTCTAAAAACTTGTGCAAGGGCTGAACAAGGGAGGGCAAAGATTAGTTTGGGCTCAGCTAAGATCAGCTTTGCCAGGCCCAGTTTGAAAAGCAGGGCTTGATACTGTAAGTAAACTAGATCTTGCTAGAAAGATTTACTTCCCTGGTGTTCAAGAACTGGAAAGGCTGGGAAAGGACTCCTAAGTCAAGTCAACCGCTCGTGTTGCCCCAGGTCCTGTGGGTGTAGTGTTAACCTGCCAGCCTGCTTATGTCTCTGGTAGCTGAAGCTTTCATCTTTTCATCTCTCCATGGTGAGACTGACTGCAAAAGGCAGCGAAAACCCTGTTGGGGAGCCCAGGTGCACCCAAGTGCTGCAGGCAGGTCACCTGCTGACCCTAATACCCAAGTCCTGCTTGCCCAGAACAAGGATATATCCCTGGCTGAGGCTGAACACTAAAAGGGTCAACTATCTTTAGAAGGTTTCTGGCTCTTGATGCTTAGTGCCTACAGAAATTCCCAAACCTTCAGGTGCTGCTGGCTGGGGACAGTATGTGCCTGGTGGGGGTTTTGGAATTAATGTCCTAATTGTGGACTGACTGTGTCAGAGTAGAGCTGGCTTATCTGCCCTCTCTTTTGCTCCAGATATGGGATACAGCAGGCCAGGAACGGTTTCAGTCTCTGGGAGTTGCCTTCTACAGGGGAGCGGACTGCTGTGTGCTGGTGTTCGATGTCACGGCCCCCAACACATTCAAAACCCTAGACAGCTGGAGGGACGAATTCCTCATTCAGGCCAGTCCAAGGGATCCTGAGAACTTTCCTTTTGTTGTGCTGGGAAACAAGATTGACCTAGAAAACAGACAAGTGAGTACTGGACTTACTAACCTCCTCTTAAGAAATCGCTGGAGTGGGAGACCTTGTGGGAACATGGGAAGGCTATCTGGGAAGCAGGAGTGGGAGGTGCCTGAGTGTGGCTCAGATGTTGTCTGCTACTGGAGAAGGGTTTCTCCTGTCTGGAGAGGTCAGACCCTTGGGCACAGCGTGCTCCTGCCCACTGGTGGAAGGATTGCAGCAGCTTCCTGGGGCAAGGAGAGGAGCTGCTTCTCCTCCCCTAGATTTGCTGAGAAACTCCTATAGGAGAAAGCCAGTGCTCTGTGGGTGTGCTGGACCCTGTGGTCTCATCTCCCTCAGCCACAGTGCTCCTTGCCCTGGGGCTGGGTGTGTCTGGTGGTGGGCACTGGTCTCCTATGTTCTGTATCAGGGCTGTGGCTTTGAGGTCAGAGCTGCTCAGGTTGGATATGAGGGGTCTCTGCCCTTGCCCTGGAAATAAAACCCTTCCCTGCGCAGCAGAAGGTGGTGATGCTGCTCTCTGTCCACCCAGGTCACCACAAAACGGGCGCAAGCCTGGTGCTACAGTAAAAACAACATCCCCTACTTTGAAACCAGTGCCAAGGAGGCCATTAATGTGGAACAAGCTTTCCAGACGATTGCACGAAATGCACTTAAACAGGTAGGGAGGGAGCCGGTGAGTGGTCCTGCGCTGGTCCTGCCTGCAGAGCTCGCCTGCCGTGGGCAGCCTGGGGCTCATCCGTAGCCTTTCCCTGCCAAGAACGGCTCCTTGCATGCTTGGAGCTGCCTGCAGAGCTGTGGCACTGACTCCTCCTTCTCTCCCACCAGGAAACCGAAGTGGAGCTTTACAACGAATTCCCCGAACCCATCAAACTAGACAAGACTGACCGAGCGAAGGCTTCCGCGGAGAGCTGCAGCTGCTGAGGGGAGAGGGAGGGGTTGAGCACAGTCCTTCACAAACGAATATCACACTTAGGCCTTCAAACACACAGCCCCTCTTCTGTGTTTAAAACGAAATTTAAAAAAAAAAAATTGCATCTCCAGCTGCCAAAATCCACCCATCTCCCATGAGCGTCTGAGTCCTGCACTTCAGAGCTCACGTCCCCACACCATCCACATCACACTTCATGGTAACAGACCTTTCTCTTAGTTTAAAATGGAAACTCTTATGTATGTTTGGAACTGAATCCAATTCCGGGTGTCCAATGGAGAGAAACTGTTTACAGGTAATCTGTGTAACAAGTTACATACATTTTTAACTGTCTCGTGTTTTCCCCTGTGAAGGCTGCAACTGGAAAGGCTGATTACCCATAGTTCATTGCAAGCTCAGCACTCAGTCCGACTAGGTTGAGTTTTGTATGTATCTCTGTTAATGCTTGTTACTTTTAACTAATCAGATCTTTTTACAGTATCCATGTATTATGTAATGCTTCTTTAGGAAAAATCTTATAGTACATGTTAATATATGCAACCAATTAAAAATGTATAAATTAGTGTAAAATTCCTGAATTACATGTTCAAGTACTGAAACACAGGTTGTGTAGAAAGTGAGGAGGACACTTGTGACCTGCAGTGTGCTAGCAACACAGAGTCCAGATAGAGGCAGTATTCTGTACAGTAGAGATGAACTATGTAAGCCTTCTTGTTTTGAGGCCAAAAAGGCTTCATCTTCTGGAAAAATCTGTCTCGCTTCCTTGTACCTAAATTCACAGATTTGCATAACAGCATTGATATGCACACTGGATTATTGGATTTAAAATTAAATACAGCTATGAAATGATCTCATTTGTTCACCTCCCCTACTGCTTAACTCCTAACATCCTGGAGCGAGCGTGAGGAGCCAGAGCTGAGGTGTCCCTGTGGCTCTTTGTGCTGTGGAAGGAGCTCCTCTCCCACCTGGGGTGTGGTAGCTGTTTCTTGATGAATGACCTGGACTATGAATCTTCCCTTTCTTCTTACTGACTGCTAATCTGGATTTTTGGTATGGAAAAACTTGGCAATCTAGTCCCTTTCCTCTCTTCCTTTCTTCCTGGTATTTGTTCTTGCGTTTGTAGCTTGCTTAAATGGAGCCCTTCTACCTGTTTTCCAGAGGTCTACATTCTAGTACGTAGGCTGAGCTCTTATGTAAAGAGACAAACATGATGCCAATAAACTTAACAAGAACAAACCTTCTTGTTTACTCCTGTTTCTGACTCTCTTTTTTTCCTTCACTAACATGCTTTCTTTCCTCTGTCTCTCACTGCCATTCTAGCAAGCCAGTGCCTGCTGACTGAAGGATATTTGTGCTTCTTTCTTGCTATAAAGTTGGTACCTTTCAGATTGGGTTTTGCAAGTGGGGTGGGCTGGCCCTGCTTGCTTGGTTGGCTGGGGAAGCAGGAGGGGGCTACCCTTCTGCTTCTCTGGAAGCTGCTTGCAGGACCAGGAATGGTGCTGGATCAGATCCGCTCCTCCGTGAGCACAGACCTTCAGCCCCATCCTCTGTGGGCGGGGACCAAGGAGGACAGTGCTGTTAAATCTCTTATTGCCCTCCTCTGGGAGGGGGTGGTGAGAAGAGCAGGTTGACCCCTTCCAGTTCACCAGCAAGGCTGGCCTGGGGTACCTTGGAGTTGTACCCTTCCTTGGTTAAGCCTTTAATTTCTCAAGGTTGGGCATGACCCTCTGCTTGCACTCATGAATGCTGAGCTGACTAGTCCTGTACCCAGAGGAAGATGGAAAAAAAAGTTTAGAGAAATGAGGGCAGTTATTTCAAGAGCATTCTAACAGTCTTTGTGCTCCATATCCTATTTTATGGCTTCGTCCTACCACACTTTTCTCACTTGACTGGGCTTTTGCTGTCCACATCAATTTCAAATAACTCTGTGATTACAAGGTGTCCTGGTGGGACTATTCTGTCTGCTTCTTTTGAAAGACTTGGACATTCTGCTCATCTCCATTTAAAGCATTGCTTTGCACTTGTTTTCTCTGGATACAGTTCTAATGTGGAGAAGGCCAATCTGGGGGAGGGGGAGCAATAACCATGAAGTTTTGGGAAAAGGGAATAGTCTGAACTCTTCACCTACCTCTGCCTGCTTTGGCCTTGGGTGGTGGAGCTGAGGCTGAGCCCTCAAGAGACCCTGTGTTTAATGTCTTTCCAATCAAATAAACTAGCACTGACCCAAGGCAAAGGGAGAGTTCTCCAGAGGGGGTAGGACAGCTGTGGAGCTCCTTGCCACAGGATGTTACAGATGCTAAATGGGAGGGGAGGATTCCATTTGCCACCTACAGATCAATGTTTTTTCAGGTGGGAATACACAAGAGCGTACAAAAACCAGTGCATGAGGCAAGCACTGTGGGAATTGGTGCCCTGCTGTTACACTCAGGGCTGATGGTGTCACAGATGGGGACTCATGTTCCAGCAAGAATCACTCATCGTCACTGTGGTCTGGAGAATCCTGGGACTGGAGAAACTGGCTGGACAGACCATCCCTGCAGGGTAGCAATGCTCTTAAAACCACTCCCTGCATCAATGGGGCCTCATGGCTTTTACTTCTCCGCTGACCTTTTTGCCTGAGGTGTTGCTGGTGCAATGGCAATGTGTGCAAGAGTGACTTGCTGCTGGGTGAATCCCAGAGGAAACCTGGCCCTGGAAGAGGCTGAACTTTTCACTGGTTCCTGGAGGCAGCTGAGCTCGAGGGCAGGAGGGAGAGATCCAAAGAAGGAGCTTGGCTGGGTGAGGGGAGGGGGTCGGTTTCCCAGTCCACACCAAGCTACAACCAGCCCTGAGTTTGCAGGGTGGGTGAAGCCGTGCGAGGTCAGAGCAGAGCAGGTGCGGAGTCTGGCGGCTGCAGCTGCTCTGCCAAGGGGCTGGAGCCGTTTGGGAGGCAGCTGTGTTTTATGAGATGCTGGTGCAAATATGAAAGCTGGGGAATCACACAACCACATCTGTGCTGCAGGGGGTGCGTGGGGGGAGCAGCGTCAAAGGAATTAAAGGCTGACCACCGGCGCTGGCACGTGGGAAGCAGCACGGAGATGCCGAGCTGCGAGGCCCGGGGCGGGAAAGCTCAGCGCGTGCCTTGGCGGTGGCACCAGGCTGGGCTTTGAGGCTGGACATGTCCTGTGCTGCAGCCTGCCCTGACCCCACAGCAGGAGCCCTCCTGCCACAGTCACCGTGGGCAGGCAGGGTGCCAGCCCCATCCCCGCACACCTGGAGCCCCAAACAGCTGCCACCACACCAGCCCACCCTGCCCCAGCACCCAGGTGTGCAGGGACCCCAGCCCGGCACACACCCCGGGGTGCTCGGAGGGAAGTGTGTGGTATAAACACAAAAACACGTTCAGGATTCTATGGGCACACAAAATGTTTTCAGCTAAACACCGGTGTGTGTGTGGTTTCCATACTCGAAACACACAGAGGCAGGAGTATGTGTATGTATTTATTTATCAGGTCACGTCTTCTGCGAGCTGGAGAGCAAACCAGCAAGAAAGCACAAGAGCACAAACAAGACAGCACAGAGTTTTGTGTGTGCGTGTGTTGCTCTATTACATAGACACATCTCCCAAGGCTCAGAGACAGAGCACAAGTGAGTTTGGTTACAGTTTTCCATTTATGACATATATGTGGTTGCAGCCTTACCCATGTACATACAGCAGCATAAAGCATTTCTTTCTTCATATACCCATATATTCAGAGAAAGAGAAAAACTTCTCTCAGAGATATGTCTACCCTCATATCTATTTTATTTATATATTTATATAAAAACATTTAATTATGAATTATATAGATACACACATAGGTATTTTCTATCACCCCCTATATGGAGAGACAGAGATGATCATACACAGACACATTTGAAATTACTTTATACATATATGCTTTGTGTGTGTGCATGTGTACTTTTTCTCCTTGTCTATACACAGAGATTTTTCTTCCACATGCTTATGTGTTTGTGTTTTATATATATTTACATTTTTAAATATAGATATTATTTCTGTATTTCTGTCTGGTTTATATAGAAAAAGGTCATTTACATGCAGGTGTAGTTTAGCTATTTTTGTAGTTCTTTGAGAAAGAGAGGAGGGGGGTAGGTGGAGACAGAAAATTAAAGAAAATTCGGACTCATAAATAAATATTTAAATAAATTGGATGTAGAGGTGGATATGGGGTACTTGTGTGTGAGTTGGGAGAGGGCAATGACTGGCACCCTTATGCTTGCTCTCCATATACACACATGCAGCCAGTCAGAATATATGTCAAGATCAATACATGCACACACACACACAATGTATATGAGTCCTAGGTATTATACATGGGGAACAGAAGAAAGGGTGGGAGAGACCAGAGTCTCACACACTTAGATAACCCTACGTGCATTTTTAGGGGTGAGAGGATGTCTGGTATATTTTTACCATTCTCTGTGTAGGTCTTTCTCTCCCTCTTGGGGAAAGGATGGAAAGACAGAGAGAATGATAGAAAATACAGACACCCAAACACACATGGTCAGTTACACATAAAAATAAAGGTTCAAATAAAGTATATGTGGAGAATGCTCAGTGTGTGAATAGTGCATTATATGCACATATGTGTGTGTGTGTATATAGCAAGAGAAAGAATGAGATCACAATCTCACTGTAAGGATGTATGTATATATGCAGGCAGAGAGAGAGGATATTGTGTGTCTTTAACGATACATGTATAGATGAGGGGATATAATGTGTGTGTGTGAATATCTCTAATGATATATGTTATAATATATGGAAATATATACTCATTTATATGTGTATATATAGCAAGAGAGAAGTGCGTTATGTGAGCAGTGCTCTGTCTCTTGGTGAGCGTATGTGTGTATTTGCAGCAAGAGGTGAGTGAACAGGTCACTCACCTTTTTATATATGCATATATATGTGCCTCTATATATATATATATTTATTTTATAGCAAGAGAGGTGTGTGAGAGCAAATCTCTGTATATACATACGTATCTATGTGTGTATCTATGTATCTCTCAATGTATCTATATCTCTCTCTATATATATCAGATTTTGTGTGTGAAGAGCTCTCTATCCATTTCTAAGTATATGTATGTGAGAGAATTGTGCAGATTTGTGAACAGCTCACGTGTTCTTGCTCTGTATATACATATGAGCATGTAAATGACACTTCAGTTAAATATGTATATATACATATATAGAGAGAATTATCTGTGTGAATAGTTTATATATATATATAAATATAAGTATGTATATAGGTTTATCTTTTACAAAAAAGAGCAATGTGTTGTATGAGAACATATGTATATAAATACAGAGAGAATATATATAAAAATATTAACATATACCTGTATATATTTATGCATCCCAAAGATAATATAATATATAAGTATTTATATATATTTATATAAATATATATTTTAGATATTTTATATAAATAATATATATTTATTATTTATGTATACAATTTAATTTTTATTTTATATATAATATATTAATATAAACAATATATTTAATATATTTTATATAAATAATATATATTTATTATTCTATTATGTATATATTTTATTATAATTTTATTTTAATTTATTTTATATTTAATATTTCTATATATTTTATATAAATAATATATATTTATGCATCCCAGAGAGGGGGCAAGAAGTAGAGAAAATGACACAAAATGTGTGTATGGGTGTGTGTTTGAAAATTTATTGCTCTTTTTCTTGAGTATATGGGTTAATGTATACTTATGTATACACACCCATCAGGAGAGGATAATGTGCATGAACAGCTCTCACTCTCTGTGTGTGTCTATATGTATGGCAAGAGAGACTCCTGTGTATGTATTTGTGCATGAACAGCTCTCTCAGCATAGATTTATACATGGGGGGTTACAGAGAGAAGGGGAGAATGTGTGAAAATCCCTCTCTATATATGTATGTATATGTATTTACATATAGACATAGACTGAGAAAAGGGGGGGTGTAGTGGTGGGGGGTGTAGTAGTGAACTGAACTCTCAAAGTATTATATTATATTATATTGTATTATATTGTATTATATTATATTATATTATATTATATTATATTATATTATATTTTATATTATATTATATATTAATGTCTATGTGCACACACAGACATTAAGAGAATTATGTTTGTGTGCTTGTGAACAGTTTCTGTATATATATGCATATATATGTGTGCATATGTATAT